ATTTGGACCGCCATACATCCGCCAATCCAGCCTCCACCGATAGTCTTAAGTATTTTGCCCATCTTAGGTATGTGAGACTGAGAGGTTGGTTGCCTGTCTATGTTAGACATCACACAACTAAAATCACCTCCCACAATCAGCAGCCCAGAGCTGTATTCAGCAGTCATATTGAAAACTGACTTAATAAATCCTGGAACATCTTCATTAGGGCCATATACGTTTACAAAGGAAACTGCTGTTCCATCAATTATCCAATTTACCAATATAAACCTACCCTCCTTATGTACTAACATTTCCATGAAATTGATCTGCCTATGGATCAATACAGCCACCCCCCTTTTCCTACCAGAACAATGTGACGAGTAGTAAACTTTATCGGCCCAAGACTTATTTAATTTCGAATGTTCCAAATCAGATAAGTGYGTTTCTTGTAGCAGTGCTACCTGACATTTTGATCATCTGAGTTGCAGTAAAATTTTCTTTCTTTTAATAGGACTATGCAAGCCCCTGACATTATAACTTATTACAGTTAGAGTACTCATAACTGTTTTAATTCAAAAATATATATGTATGATAATATTGTGTTGGAGGCAATGACGGCCATTTGACGGATGGGCCCAAATATTTGAGTAACATGAATGCTGATCACCAAGACAATGTAAGAACCGAAAAATAGAAAAGAACAGATAAGAAGTAAGGCTTTGCTGTACACTATTTACAAAACTAAGATTCAGAAGCTCTGCTTTTTTAGTTGCAATCAGATCCTCGGGGAACAGAAGGATCAGAACGCAGAAAACACAACTAAAAGTTTGCATTGCCAGCATAATGCAAGGAAGTGGGTTTAAGTCCCTAGCCACTATAAAAAGCAGCAACAAACACAACCAGAAAAGAACTGGATGTGTAAAAAAAAATAAAAAAATCGACAGAAAGAAAAGATAAAAGTATGGAAGCTCAGGCTCCTGCAGGAGAACATAAGTATATAACAGTGACCACAATGTAACAAAGAATCTGCTAATAATAATAATACAACCTAATTAAGGCAAATTATGTCTTAGTGATTTAACAAGGTTAGAAATGACAAAGTCTCGTACTAACATACCTACCAGTTTAGAGAGGTAACATTGCTTAACAAAATCACATTTAGGRCTTAAGCAACTAAAGGCACATTATTTCAAAATTGAAAACTACTGGAACTAGTCGTGCCAATTTAGCATTTATGGTTTTCCTTACTATTCAGACCCAGATATTGCAGCGGGGATGGTCTTCCGTATGTAGTCCATGGCCCTCATAGGATCTCGAAACTCCTTGATGTCCTCTTTGTATGTGATTTTGAGTCTTGCTGGATAAAGTAATCCGAAGCGGACATTGCTCCATCCCCGTAATGGTGCGTTCACACCGAACGCGATTTCAGCGTCAGGAGCAGCAGGTTTACATGCAAAGTCTATGGTGGACGCGCTTCAAGCAACGTCGGGAAGTTCTGCGGCGCCTCAAGCGCGATTAGAGCAGATTTGGACGATCTGAGCGTCGAACGCTCAGATCGTCCAAATCGTCCAAATCGCGCTTGAGGCGCCGCAGAACTTCCCGACGTTGCTTGAAGCGCGTCCACCATAGACTTTGCATGTAAACCTGCTGCTCCTGACGCTGAAATCGCGTTCGGTGTGAACGCACCATTAGGCATGTAGACATGGTCAAGACAATCTCCTGCAGTTTAAACCGAGCATCAGTATGGGGAAGAAAGGTGATTTG